GGGGGGGGGGGGGGAGAGTAATTGGTTGGAAGATATCAGCTCATTAATCTTCTTGGCTCTAAACTACTACTGGTTTAGAATTTAGGCTTTGTGAGAAAAGGGCTTTAAAGATAGAATGAATGTTTTATGAAACTAAAACGTTTTAAAATGTTTAAAGTACATAGATATTTGATAGTTTTATACTGGTGTATGTTAAATACGTGCTCACAGAGTCATATAATTGTTTCTAAAACAGAAGTGCAGAATATTTTTTTTATTGATTTCAGAAGGAGCTGAGTAATTGTTGTATAAAGGACACTGGCAGTCCCCTTCAGAACACTGTACACAGCCCAAGTAAAAATTATTCTGAACAGAAGTTACTGGTTTTGCATTTTTTTAAACAAATACTGCATCAGGTAGCTTGTATCTTCATTTTCACTTCTAGTTTGCATGACTCGACCTTCATAATTCAAAGCATTTCGGAAGATGCTGCGTTTTTTGTTAATTAAATAACTTTGGTGACTTGTTTGAGCATAACATTCTTTAAACTATATTGAGAAATCTGCCACCTGGTCAATCTTACTTTCAGTTTTATTAATAAATAACCCCAACAGTGAGTTAAAATCTGCAAGATTTATTCTAAAAATAAATAACTACTACTTTTGGAGATTTGTCCCTTCAGAAGTATTAAACATATATTTTACTTCTTGCTTCATTTGAAATGTGCTTGTTGACTGATCAACTTTGAATAACTATAGCTAATATGTCTCTTGTTACTACATTCTGTTTTGTTCTTGAGAGAGGGAGAAGCTGAATTGAAACAAAACAGGACATCTTCTGTTTGATATACTACCTACATCATGTTGCCTTGTGACTTGCAATTTCTTTTCCTGTGATTATAAACCATCTCTGTTGTTTTATATCAACTGAAAATTACTATGTAAATACCACTTACATAGAAGATGCCTTCAAGGACCACTTCATAAATGAAAGATTCTACCAGTGTTCACATCTCCTGTGTTTAAAGAAATGAACTTCATTCTTGTACACACACAAACGTTTGCATTAACAGAAACATTTTATTTATTTTTACTTATCCCAAGTTCTAGACACTTTGACAGTGATTAAAAACACAACTGCTTGTGGACAGGATCAGACACTGTGAGCTCTGCCACAATGCTATCCATAAAAAAAAAAAAATCTGCAAATCCCCCCCTCCCCCTCGTTTAAAACAAAACAATAAAAAGCCAGTCCATAGAATAGAATGATCCCACCTTTCACAGATCTCAAGCACTCTGATCTCCCCCCTATACTCCAGCTTTCCCCAGAGCCTGAGCAAATAAGATCCTGGTGGAGGTAAGGCATGCACTGGTTTTTACAATCATGTTGTCTGTTGCTTTTCAGAGCAACTCTGGACAACACAGTGTAAAAACGTGTATATTAATGTTATCAGTGGTAGTGTAAGAATGAGAGCGCTCTCTCCCCCTTTCAATGGGGGGGAAAAAAAAAAGCTAGTGTAGAAAAGTCCTAAATGGGTTGTACCACGTATCTGAAAGGTCTGCTGTTCAAGGGAGGATTGCATTCCAAAGACCAGGGGGCCTTCACAGAGGATGTTTCTCCAGTGTTCCAGCTCAAGCATCTTTGTTGTGTTTTGCTGTGGCAGTGTCACTTGGGCAGAGAGGTTTGTCGGGCAGGTCCCAAAACATTTAAGGTTTTGAGATTTCTAGTAGCACTTAGAAGCCTTGATGAGGATTGTTATCACATCGTGCTGAGTACTATGCAAAGATGGAGACTTGACACCCATCCCCAAATGACATAAAACCTAAAAAGATGTGCACAATATGAAATGTAGGGAAGATGGAAACAATAAATATAACATTTTATATGTATAAATTTATTGATATAATTGCAAAATAAAAAATAGCAAAGAGTAACTTTCCCCAACTGCTTCTTGGCCTAGGCTTTAGAAGTTGGTTGTCTGTAGGTACTTTGGTGGCAGTATTGGGAGTTGGGAAGCAATTTATAGGAAGAAAGGGTAGTAATAGCCCTATGGATCAGTTCTGGGGAAAGGGGTTCATGCATAAGAATCTGAGTGAAAGAAAATGCAAAGATCTTTATGGGCTGAATGGACAAGTTGGTAGCAGAGGCAATTCTAATTGACCGAAAAGAAAGGGAGCTGAGGTGGAGAGGAGCAGTGTGATAAAACATGAGCGGATAAGTTGGGAGGGATGGAATTGTGAAGGGCCTTGAAAGTAAGACCACTATTTTTAAC